AACCACACCCAAAATTTCATACACACGTGCTTTGATTAAGGCTTATTAAAATAGCGAGCAATTTGTTACAAAACCACATAAATTATATATCACTGTAATCAGAAAACTTCAATCTATTTCCGTATAGTAACGGAATTTTAAATTATGTCTTTATTTTAGAGAAAATTTAGTCCAAACATAAGGAATATTTTGTTGATGCTTGACCATCAAAATCTTAAAAATAAAGGAGTTATCTAAAAATGTGCTACAATACGGATATAGTATAATTCTTTATCTTTAATTTCCTTCTTCATTTGTGTAAAAATACCTAACCAGTTTTACATAAAATGCTAAATGCCGAAAGCTAATTTTACTACTTTTCCGAAGTAGTGAAATTGACTCTTCATATTCATAAAATTTCATATATTTAAATTTCTTTTGGAATATAGAAAAATTTGAAATGATAAATATGTATTTTTTTGAAATGTCTCGTTACGTTATCAAACATATTTTATTAAATTTTTCTTTATAAATGCAAAAAAATTGTTTGAAAAACGAATGTTTCAAAATTCGAAAATAAAATATGTATTTTGTATGTACTCATACCTGATGATAGGCTCGACATATTTGATTGATTTATTATTTTATTTTTCCATATGTCTACCTGGGCGAAAATGTATCATTTTAGTAGATTAAAGTTAAAAAAATAATATACCGGGTCCGTCTCAAAAGTGGCTCACCCCTGTAACTTTTTTATTTTTTCAGTTAAAAAAACGAGATTTGGTATGATAAATATAGCATAGTATATGTAATATATAAATGGAAAAATAAATTTCTTGCAGTTTTTAGGTATATAATAAAATTATATAAGAGTTTCTTGCCTTGAACTGCTAATATAGAAATTAATTCCACGCTGTGCTCGTCATAATGTGGATCAACCTGCTCTCACTACCGGTTGTGGGGCCCTACAGGGGGGTGACAGTGAAATAGGAAAATTGGAAACAGTCATTAGTGTCATTCTTGTCATTCTCCTGACGACAAGTATGGCCGCCTAGACAAGGACAGCATCTAACTATTGTCTAACTTCACAGTTTAGAATTGACAGATTTCAGTTTCAGAGATAACTTCAGATTTGTTCTAGAACAAATTCGAAAATATTCGACGCCATTTTAATTCATTCCGTTTAGTTTCGTTTTGGAAGTTCAATTTAATATTTCGGCTGAAATTTATAAATATAAAGGTAATAAAGTATATAAACTATATATTACATGAAGAATCCTGGAGAAAATGACGTTTCTGCAGTAGTAGGTATGTCCCATGTATATGAAAAATAGGTAGTAAATAAACACTGTTTTTACATTTTTTAGATGCAAGAAAATGGTGTTATAGTCTCTTTGATCGGCGATTTTTTTGAAAATGGAAACAATTTACAGCAAGGTAAGATCATTTTTAACTATAGCCAACATTAGTTATCTCCAGTATGTGCGACTTATTGTCAATAATGCAATAAATCGGACTGATAATCTGATTATGTTATCCGACTAAAAGTCTCTTTTTGCTTCTTTTTGATTTATAAGCCAGGTCTCTTTGGGAATAATGGACGCTTTTTTTAAACAGTATATTTATATTTTATACCTATTGATATTTTTACATTGTTAATTTTAGTATAAAAAAAATTGTTTTTCTGTTTTCAGGTTTTTGTATAAGGCTCCCGTTTTCATGTTTGATTTGGTTTGGTTTGGTAATAATAAAGCTCTAATAAATTATTTTTTGGTTTTATTTGTGAAAAGAAAAAATACAAAATACATTTGAACTGAAAGAGGGCCCGCCATTGAATAACCGGAAACGGAAATGAAAATTAAGCCATCATGTCCTTATCATGTCAACCTGTCAATTGGAAAATTAGTTCTCCAGACGACAACGAAGGCTTTCGGTGGCGTATCGTGTTTCCACGATTTAACACAGAGTTGACACTTCTTTCTAGTTAATTATTTTATGGGGCCCTACCCCATCATCAAGTGAGCTTGGGTATTTCCACAAAACGACGAGCACAGAGCGGAATATATAAATACGACGTAAAATAGCGGTAAGATATAATAGGGTAGGGTCCCGAAACCGGTAGTGAGAGCAGGTTGATCCACATTATGACGAGCACAGCGTGGAATTAATTTCTATATTAGCAGTTCAATGCAAGAAATTTATTTTCCATTATATAATTTGGGCTAGCCGAAAAAAACCTTTATTTACTATTGATAGTTGTGCCTCGGTGGTACGAAAGTACTACCATTGCACGCAAGCCGCTATCTCGCGATGCGGTACTTAATATCTTACTGCTATTTTACGACAAGTCGTATTTATATATTCTGCGCTGTGCACGTCGTTTTGTGGAAATAGCCAAGCTCACCTGATGATGGGGTAGGGCCACGAAACCGGTAGTGAGAGCAGGTTATTATGACGAGCACAGCGTGGAATTAATTTCTATATTAACAGTTCAAGGCAATAAACTCTTATATAATTTTATTATATATGTAATATATAATAGTATATGACATAAATTGGGATTGATTGACGTATTCAATTGTTTTCGGCCACTCCCTGTTTCACCGGAAATGACTATAATTTTTGATTTTTAAATGACACCTTCGGTATTTTTTTACCTCGTTTTTTACTTTATTCGATGGAAAATTACAGTCTTAATAGAATGACATATCATATGTCAACTTTTGACATTTTCGCATATGGTTTATTTGAAATTGTAACATGCGGTTCATAACGACAATTTGACTCGAAATACCATGTGTGGTACCAAATTATTCGCAAAAAATGCTTCTTCCAAATATGCTAATGAGCCACCCTTGTTCCATTAGAATAAATCAAGATATGATTAAAAATACGATTTGGGCAGTGAAACAGGATGTGAACAAAACAATTGAATACGTCGATCAATCCTAATTTATGTTATATACTAACATACCAAATTTCGTCTTTTTATCTGAAAAATATAATAAGTTATAGGGTGAGCCACTTTTGAGACGCACCCGGTATATTTTCGCCAACTAGATTATTAGTGCATACAACAGATTATTAGTGCAATAGACTAGATTATTAGTGCAATAACAGATTTTTTTATAAGAGAAAAAAATGCAGTAAATACTACAAAGAACTTTCTGCGAAAAAAATGCATTCGTTTTTTTCGTGCCTTTTCTGATTTTTTGTGAAATTCAAATGTTAAATCGCTTAGCAAATCAACTTAGAAAAAATATCTTAAAAATATATATATATATATATATTTTAAAATATGATGCCTTCTAACGGACAAACGAAGTACTTTTGTAAAGAGGTAAATCATGTCAGATGAACTTATTTTTAGTATTAGTAGCAGTAATTCTATGTTCACGGAATATTGGACCACCCTGTATATGTTTAGCATATTAGTGTAGGCTACTACGAGTAGAGCAAGGGAATCTTTATTATAATACAGACCATGTCAAGACAAATTTTAAATATATGTTGTTTGTTGAGATCGTGACCTAAAAACCGAGATAGGGTAACTTTTACGCAATCAATTTTGAGCTGGATAAAATCCGAGGCTTTATGAAAACAAATTTTTGTAGACAACTAGCATAGTAGCGTATCTGTCACGGATCATATTAAATAACAGTTTGAAGACAAAGATAAATTACGTATGAGCAGAACTGCCTGTTTGAAAAACAAATATGTTTCTTTAGATCCGAGACATTCAATTTTAAGAGACCGTATACATAAATTATTTATCTATTTTCGAAATAGTCATACGTCAAGAGGTAAATCTGACGACAAGCGGAGGATGATGTTAGGAAATATCTTTTAGATGAAAGTTGAATATACATCTGTGTTTTGGTTTTTATTTTTTTTTTGAGATAAAGAGCATTATTACAGGTGATTAAATGAAAACATACGGTAATCGCAAACCATTTTCTGATGCACGTCATCAATCATATCGATATAAAATTGACACTAAAGCCTATAAATCTGACTAAATGAAATTTTGGCAAAAATGTTTAAATTTCTTGTGTAATTTAAGATACCGAGCAACTCTTCATTTTACTTTATAGAGCAAATGATTGTCACAGATATTTTATTTAGATTAAAGCTGAAAAAATTAGTTTAAACCGAATTTTATTATCGCTATGATGGTCACATTGCGTCGTGTTCAGCAACGTTGTCGTTTATTAACATACGAAATTAGTCGAAAATTAACATTTTGAGAAAACAGCGCTTTTGGTTATAGTTAATTCTAGATAAATGCAATTGAAATTCAATGGAATTCAAATAAGAAAAGTGACACGTAAACGTATTGTAATAATATAAAATCAATAATTTCCTGACTTTTTCCTGTCTAGGAATTTACATCCTGTATCATTTATCTGAAAATAAATGAACAGCACACAACATTTTTACTTTTTATTTAACCAAAACAATTTTAGACAATAATTTAATTCAAGTAAACTAAATTTTAACATTTGACTAACTGTTTTAATCTACATTTACTCAAGTTAATTTAGTTTAATTAAAATATTATTAATACTGCTATCTAAATAATATACCTGTTAATTTCAAAGTTTACAGACTAAAGAGCTATTTTTAGAATACCATTTGTTTGCTGCACGCGTATACCTATTAGGAGGATGACTGTATTGATAACATACGCGTTACTTTGACCTTTGTTACATATACGGTAAAATAAAACACAATTTACCAGAATTCACCAAAAGTGTTTACTTTGCGTTTTGTTAACAAAATTGTCGGCAGAAAATTAAAACTAACAAAATTTGTAAACACGCGCCTAAGTTGAAACACTCATTCTGAATTGGTCAATGTGGAGGAATAAACGGATAAATATCTAATAAACTCGTCAAATTCCGAATGTAAGATCTATTGAGCTCTATTGCTCATTTACGCCGGTTCATTAGATGGTTTACCAAAATACTTTATTCGACTTTTGTCTTAAATAATTAAAAATATTAAAAATAGGTACTTACCTACATCCTGCTAGCAAGCACTGTCTGTACATTTCCGGACTGCTTTTACCAGTGATCTGATGTCCAGTCAAATACGTGTTATGCGAAGAGTTTATGAAATAATGAGCTAAGGGCTGATCCATTTCGTCGCTTAGGTCAAACTGAAACAAATTGCAACGGTTCAAACCAAAGAATTTAGTATTTCAAGGTAACAAAGGCTGCTCTAATAAAACATGTTACTTTAATTATACAGGGTTGTTCACCACATACGACACGGAGTATTGTAGCTAAACGATTAGATTTTTACAAATTGTAAGTTTTGGGTTCGTTGAAGGTCTATTAGAGCTACAATTTAAAAATATTTTTACAAGATACAGAGTGTCCCAAATAAGTAAAAAATATTATAGTTGTATTTTTTTAAATGGAACACCCTGTATATTATTCTATTTTTGGATTCTACGATTGAAATAAAGGTAAATTTGATTAAGGTTTATCACACTTAAACATTGCCGTTTTTGAAATATTTTCAATTTTATGAAATTGCAGTAAAAATTTTAAGGCTTTATTTCTCCCAGAGTATCAAAGTTTTTAATATTAAATATTTACTGAAGATTATTTATTGATAAGATATTGTGTTGCAATAATAAAAATTTTCCTACCTTATACAGCGTGTCCAAAAATTTATATTAAATAATTACTAGCTTTAAACGGCAATAACTTGTTAAATGGAACACCCTATATATTTTATGTGAATCAGATGCACAATGTAATTGTCTATCAAATTGTATTATACCATTATCCAAACCAAACCAAACCAAACCAAACCAATTAAATATACCGCCATTATTTCCTACCAAAAACACCAAAACTTAAATTGTTTTAATTAATAAATTATTCTAAATAAATGTGGATTTGGCTCAGAAATCAATATAATGATAAGTTATGAAAATGAATGTGTCTGTTTTTATAAATAAGCATTCGTCAATAAATGAAATAAAATTTATAAGGTGTTACTTTTTACCACACTGTCTAATACACACACAAAATTCAGTTTTCTAGTATTTGGAGCAATTATTACTACAACGTAAACAGTCAATTAATGTAGTTTAAATACTGGGATCATATTAATTGGTCCTCTGTAACAAAAAATATTTAAACAGTTTTTTTTATTTTTTTAATTAAATAAGCGAACTATATCGACAATATTAGTATCTGTACCCTTTGAAAATTTTTTACATCTTTAAAAATAAGCTAAAATGTCAATATTCCATGGGTATAGTGATAAATGAAGTCTAAATTATAAGAAAATGCATTTTCTATGAAAACTTGAGGAGATGGGTAAAAAATGGAACAATACAATTTGATAGACAATTACATTGTGCATCTGATTCACGTAAAGTATATAGGGTGTTTCATTTAAATTAAACAAGTTGTTGCCGTTTAAAGCTAGTAATTATTTAATATAAATTTTTGGACACTCTGTATAAGGTAGTAAAATTTTTATTATTGCAACACAATATCTGATCAATAAATAATCTTCAGTAAATATTTAGTATTAAAAACTTTGATACCCTTGGAGAAATGAAGCCTTAACATTTTTACTGCAATTTTATAAAATTGAAAATATTTCAAAAACGGTAAGGTTTAAGTGTGATAAACCTTAATCAAATTTACCTTTATTTTAATCGTAGAATCTAAAAATAGAATAATATACAGGGAGTTCCATTTAAAAAAATACAACTATAATATTTTTTACACATTTGGGACACTCTGTACCTTGTAAAAATATTTTTAAATTGTAGCTCTAATAGTCCTTCAACGAGCCCAAAACGTACAATTTGAAAAAATCTAATCGTTTAGTTACAATACTCCGTGTCGTATGTGGTGAATAACCCTGTATATTAAGATTAATATATTTTTAGTGTTTATTTAAATAAATTGATAATAATAGTCCTGAGTTAACGGTCAGTCTATTTGATCACTTAGATCGAATTTAAACAAATTTCAAAAATTCAAACCAAAGAATTCAAATTTTAACAAAAGTGTCTCATACAATGATCAGTTATGAAAATTATATATTTTTAGTTTATTTCTCAAAGACTGCTCTTATAAAATATGTTGCTTTATATTAAGATCGCTTTACTTTTTAGTTTTTGTTTGATTAATTAAATTATCTCATCGGTTCAAACCGAAAAATTAAAAATTTAAGAAAGTGTTCCATACAGTAATGATTTATGAAAATTGTATTTTTAAGTTAATTTATCAAAAAACTGTAATAATAATGTATGTTGCTTTATTAAGATTGCTTTACTTTCTAGTTTTTGTTTAAATAAATAAGAAGAATTCAACATACAACGATATATTATGAAAATTGTATTTTTAAAGTTTTTAAATCAATTTCTCAAAAACTATTTCTCAAAGAAATCAAAATTTAAAAAAAGTGTTTCAAACAATGATCAGTTATGAACATTATTTTTTAAAAGATAATTTCTCAAAGGGAGTTTTACTAAAATATTTGACTTATTCAGTCTACGTTATTAAGATTACATTATTTTTTAGCATTTGTTTAAATAAGTTTCTAAAATTTTACTACTAGTATTGAGCTAAGGGTCAATCAATGTTATCGCTTAAGTCGTACTTAAATAAATGCCAAGGCCTAAAACCCAAGAATTTAAAATAAAAAGCGTCTCATACAATAATCAAGAATTAAAATTTTATTTTTAAATTTAATTTCCCAAATATTGCTTTCATAAAATATGTTGCTTTATTAAGATCACTTTATTTTTTAGTTTTTGCATGAATAAATGTTACTTATAAGTCAACGATTGCTCAATTTTATCGCTTAGGTCAAACTGAAACAAATAGCAAAGACTTAAACCAAAGAATTAAAAAAAGTGTTTCATACAATGATCAGTTATGAACATTATTTTTTAAAAGATCATTTCTCAAAGAGAGTTTTACTACAATATCTGGGTTCATAAAAATTACGTTCTTTAGCTTAAATAAGTTACTAACGGTCAATCCATTTCATTGCTTAAGTCAAACAGAAATAAATACAGGGTGGCGCACCTCATTCGCCTCGGTTGATTATACGAAAACGGAAAGATGTAGAAACAAAATATTTTATGGGTATATGTGGGGAGACAATGTGCACAATTTAAAATTATTTTGAAATATACAGGGTGTTTCAGAACTAAGATCCGTACCAAAGTTATATTTTTTCTTATGGAACACCCGGTATTTTATTATTTATCTTCGGATCTTGTCCATTCATTCATTGGAGTCCTGGGCCCAAAAAAAAGCATTTATTATTTAAAATCTTTAGTTTTTCAGATATTTAAAGATATTTAAATTTGTATGCTACAATGGAATAGACTATTAACACCCTGTACATTTCTTATTAGAATTAATTCTTATGCTGACTTTAAAGGTAGAGAAATAAACTTTACTGAAAGATGGAATGGGTTCCTTAAATATATACAGCGCTATCAAAAGTTGCTGATCTATTTTAAGGATATATTTTATATAAAAAGGTGCCCGGTGGCGTAGAGGTACAGGCTCTAGTCTACCAATCTCGTAATGGGTTCGAATCCCACACCCGGCATTCCATCAGCCGACTATTTTTATTAAAGTAAAAATAGTTTGGGTATCTAGGTCGACTCAGCCTTAAATGAGTACTTGGGATTCACAATCCTGAGGTAACAATAGGCGGTTGAAGGGTAGTGCTAGCCACATTACCTTCCTTGTATACCGAACGGCTCTAGCATGGTAAGCTGTACCTTGCTACTCCCAAGACGTTAAACGCTATATACGGGAGCTATTATTCTATATTATTTTATATAAAAACTTTGTTATTTCAAATACAACACCCTGTATTTTTTTAAATAAATCGGAGCAGATTCAAATGCTCTTTCAAACTATGTTAGGGTTTCCTGTACCTATCTAGCTCAGATTTTGAATAAAAAGCGATTTTTAAATAAAATTGTAATCAAGATGGCTGGTGTCGCCATGGCAATTTTCTAGTGACAGTTAGTAACTATTTTCAAAGTCGACATTAGTTTATGGACATCATTATTTATAATTTATAACAGTTTACTTATATTTACCTACAATAGTTTAATAAGTAAGTATTCATTATTTCAACAAGAAAAAATAATGCAGTATCTGCTGGCGAAACGAATAGATATGTTACTAGTGATATTATTTTGTGAGGAAAATTGCTTCTTGGCCTCAAGGGCTTATGCTCAAAGATATCCAAATAGGAATCTTCCTGATAAGAGTGTGTTTGAAAAACTTCTTGTCCTATTTCGCAGAGCTGGTAGTGTGGTTTATAAAAAACCTATTAGGCAGAAACTTGTCGTTGGAAGTGAAGAAAATTAATTTTGCCGTAATTGGCTCTTTTATAGAAAATCCGTATATCTACAAGTCATCGTAAGATAATTCAAAGACTACTTCTGTTTTTCTTAATAGAATAATAAACACATATTTTATAAATATTATTTATTAAACTATTGTAGGTAAATTAAATAAAATTAAAAAATAAGTTAATAAACTAATTTGGATTTTGAAAATACCTACTAACTAAATAAAATAGTCACTAGAAACTTGCCATGACAACACTAGCCATCTTGATTACAATTTTATTGAAAAATCGCTTTTTATTCAAAATCTGAGCTAGATAGGTATAGGAAACCCTAATATAGTTTGAAAGAGCATCTAAATCTGCTTCGATTTATTTAAAAAAATACATAGTGTTGCATTTGAAATAACGAAGTTTTTATGTAAAAATATATTTAAAATAGACTAGCAATTTTTGATACCTCTGTATACATTTAAGGAAAGAATAACATTTTTTTGTAAAGTTTATTTCTCTACCTTTAAACTTAGCATAAGAACTAATTCTGAAAAGTAATGTACAAGGTGTTAATAATCTATTCTATTGTAGCATGCAAATTTAAGTATCTTTCAACATCTCAAAAACCAAAAATTTTAAACATATTTAACCCTTATAATAAATACCTTTTTTTGGGCCCAAGAATCCAAAAATGAAATAAAATACCGAGTGTTCCATAAGAAAAAATATAACTTTGGTATGGATCTTAGTTCTGAAATACCCTGTACATTTCAAAATAATTTTAAATTGTGCATATTACCTCCCCACATATACCCATAAAATATTTTGTTTCTACATCTTTCCGTTTTCGTATAATCAACCGATGCGAATGAGGTACGCCACCCTGTATATTATAAAGGCTTAAACCAAAGAATTTAAAATAAAAGTGTCTCATACAATGATCAGTTATGAACATTATATTTTAAAAGATAATTTCTCAAAGTTTTACTTAAATATTTGGGTTCATAAAAAACATTTTATGGCTTAAGTCAAACTGAAATAAATATATTGCGAAGACTTAAACCGAATAATATAAAATAGAAAAAGTGTCTCATACAATAATCAGTTATGAAAATTGTATTTTCCAAGTCAATTTGTGTTTTAATCAAGTTCCATTATTTTTTATTTTTTTTTTCGTTTTTGTTTGTGAATGAAGTTAATATTAATAATAAAGAGATTTACTTGAACAGTCGAAAATTCAACAGATTTTTTAAAATTTAATTCAAACGCATTTCCTTTTTAAGCTACTTATTTCTTGCACTTTTGACGTAGCCAAAAATAGGATGAAAGAAAGGAATGTACGTATACCATATTACTTTCTGTGCGAATAAGACTCTAAAAGCTCTAGTTCAATCAAAAGCATTAATATAAATTTTTAAAATTATACCAAATTCAATTATTTGGCTTTTCTGCATCGAAAATTCATTTACACAATACGCCATACCAATGCTCTACTCAAAGAGAGAGGCTTGTATTACGAACCTTTTGAATGAAAAGCTTTTATTAATTTTGTACTTTGTTGAAGCTCCAATATTATCCCCTTTGAAACTGTTCTACTGAAGTCTTGTTACTGCTAGATTAATTTCTTTGTGTTTTATTTTACTGTTATGATGTAAAATATTATAATACTAAATACCTGGTATTAGTACGAAAACTTCTCTATACCGGGTGCGTCTCCAAAGTGGCTCACCACTATAACTTTTAATTGTTTTGATAAAGAAACGAGATTTGGTACGTTAGTATATGACATACATCAGGATTTATTGACGTATTCAATAATTGTTTTCGTTCATTTCCTGCTTCACCGAAAATGACTACAAAACACGACCAAAACAATTGAATATGTCAATCAGTTCTAATTTATGATGTACTAACATACCAAATTTTGTTTTTTTTTATCTGAATAATAAAAAAGTTATAGAGGTGAGACACATCCGATATGTACAGGGTGTCCCATTTTGGTTGAAATCATACGGTATCTTCGTTATTAGTGAAGATAGAAGGGTGCGGTTTGCACAAACCTGTCCCACTTTTTCGTCAAACGGAAGATGCTGCAAACAAAATTTTTATAGCCCTCTTCGTTTCTGAGCTACAGGGTCTTTTCAAAAATTTTGCAATTTGGGACACCCCCTGTATCTCTGTTATTGTTAAAGGTATCGAGAAGGCGAAAACTGCTTATTGTAGAACTTTTTACGTAGAATACAGTGGCGTAGTTTGTTTTTCTACCAAAAAAATATTTTTGAAAATATGAACTAAAGTTATGTTTTTTCAAATGGAACACCCTGTATATTTATAAATCATATGATCTGTCTTGCTACGAGCTTCTCAAAAATATATATCACTCTATATTTATTTTCACTATTTACTGCAATATTTAAAATATATCATTTTCTTATTAGTAGGCCGTGATAAATAACAAAAAATCAAAATGGTATTTACTAAAATAGTTATTCACATATTAAAATTAATTTGGGATTGATATATTTTACTTTTGAAATAACTGTTACCACTGAAACTGTGAATATATTTTTCTTTTTTTTATAACGGGATGGGTCTGCAAATATCTAAATCTTGAATTATTAAAGCATTTTTCAGGTGTTCGACATTGTTGTAGTGCCCACGATATATTTCGTATTTCAAAAATCCCCAAAATCAGATATCGAGAACGGCGAAATCCGGGAATCGAGGAGGCTATCAATATGCGTTCATTGGTTCCAATTCATTGATTTGAAAAATAATAATTTAACAGTATTCTAATATTTCATAGTTATGAGGGGAATGTTCCCCATCTTGCTGAAAGTATATTTCACGTAAATTAGCTAAAGGAATATCTAAAATTTCCGATACGATAGATTATTCTTATGTATACACGTATTCCAAGATTTACAAATAGCGGTAGAGAGTTAAGTTTCCCTAATATATAAAGAATTTATTAGCGGCTCCCAAAATAAAACAAGAGACAGATAGCAGTATACTTTTAATAATTCTTTAGTTTCTTTTATTATCAAAAACTTTTAAATATTGCAGTGAATAGTGAAAATAAATATAGAGTGATATATATTTTTGAGAAGCTTATGGCAAGACAGATCATATGATTTATAAATATACAGGGTGTTCTATTTAAAAAAACAAAACTTTAGTTCATATTTTCAAAAATATTTTTTTGGTAGAAAAACAGACTACGCGACTGTATTCTACGTAAAAAGTTCTACAATAAACAGTTTTCACCTTCTCGATAGCTTTAACAATAACAGAGATACAGGAGGTGTCCCAAATTGCAAAATTTTTAAAAAGACACTGTAGCTCAGAAATGAAGAGGGCTATGAAAATTTTGTTTACGGCTTCTTCCGTTTGACAAAAAAGTGAGACAGGTTTGTGCAAACCGCACCCTTCTATCTTCACTAATAACGGAGATACCCTATGATTTCAACCAAAATGGGACACACTGTACAGTCAATAACTAAAGATTAAATAAAAGTCTTAGTACTTATAAGTGTTTAAAGTGCATTTGTTTTAGTTTATTTACATGTCATAAATTGAATTTTCTTCTTTACTTTAGAAGAAAGACAAACCGGAACATTAGTATCTTATTTTTTTAATACCGGCTGCGTCTCAAAAGTGGCCCACCCCTCTAACTTTTTTATTTCTTCAGTTATAAATACGAGATTTGGTATGTTAGTGTATGGCATAAATTGGGATTGATTGACGTATTCAGTTGTTTTCGGCCACTTCCTGTTTCACCGTAAATGACTACAACTTTTTTGATTTTTAAATGGCATTCTCGGTAGTTTATACTTTATTCGATAGAAAATAACACTCTGAATAGAATGACATATCATATGTCAACTTTTGACATTTTCGCATATGGTTTATTTGAAATTATAACTTAAGGTTCGTAACGAAAATTTGACTCGAAATAGCAAGTGTGTAGTATCAAATTATTCGTAAAAAAATGCTTTTGAGCCACCCTCGTTCCATTTGAAAAAATTGAGATATGATTAAAAATACGATTTGAGCATTTTCGAACTAGCCGGGACAATACACTAAAACATTAGACGATCAAATCTATTTTTCCAAGGCTCCTTGATTAAGGATTAGTGTTTTAACATAGTCATGGCACTCTAGATTGAACTTTAAAATACGATTTTTTATTAAGCGAGACTGTCAAAAGTCATGATATGTCATTCTATTCAGAATGTAATTTTCTATCGAATAAAGTAAAAAAATACCGAGGGTGCCAAACGAAGTAAAAAAATACCGAGGGTGCGAAACAGGAAGTGACCAAAAACAATTGAATACGTCAATCAATCCTAATTTATGTCATATACTAACATACCAAATCTCGTTTTTTTTATCCAAAAAAATAAAAAAGTTATAGGTTTTGAGACGCACCCGGTATATGGTCTATTTATTTCTTAAGTCTGTTTTAATAAAACGTTTTTAGATTTTCTTTAAATAAATTGGTAATAGTCTTGAGCCAACGGTCAATAAATTTTATCGCTTAAGTCAAATTTAAGCATATCGCAAAGCGCAAAGTTTCAAACCAAAGAAATTAAATTTTAAAAAAAGTGTTTCATACAATGACAAGTTATGAATATTGTATCTTTAAAGTTGCTTTATTAAGATTACTTTATCTTTCAGCTTTTGTTTAAATAAATTACTAACAGTCGTATGTGGGAATGAGGTGAGTAACCCTGTATATTCTCACGTCGTCATACGCAAAAAACAAAGAGTATAAAAAAGAAATAGAAAAGGAAAAATACCGAAGTCTCTGCAAGAAGCGGGGAAATGTGTTTGAGAAAGAGGTCTTTTTATTTAATATTAAGTCAGTAATAATAGCGAGTTATTGAATAGTCAAATTTGATTTGAAAAAAAATAATACAAATTAAAAATATTTTTTTAGTCGTTTTGGTGCTTACCTTGCTTGCAGCGATAATATTGTTATCTTCAGAAAGTAGATATCGTAGAAAACCATTAAAACTGAGCTGTCCCTTCATAGAGTTGTATTTATTCGGCTCGTGCTGTTCAATGATGTCCCTGGCTCTGGCCGTGTCCGCGTAGGGATATAAAATTTCGTTCAGTCTCGGATCTCTCTGTGTCTTGTTGAGAAACTCAACAAACTGATCTGCCGTCATGTATTTCTTGGTTCCGACACTGCAAAGAGGGTATTTACTGTACTTGTAGAATGTCAATGTACATTTCGCACCTTTAATAACAAAGAGACCTAAGTGAAAATAATAATAATTTGTGTTTTTGTTTGAAGATGCGATGTCTCTTCGATTGAAATAAGATTCAAAAAATGTACAGTATGTGTTCGGATTGGTCTATATGTATAAGAAGAAAACCTTTTGTACTTTTAACATTTTAAGAAAAATACATTCTTTATAAAAAAACATTTAAACGTCCAAGAAGTATTATAAAATGGTCATTTTAACGCTTAGCCATAAAAGTAAAACTCTTTTACGCCCATAATTTATGCCTAAGCACAAAAGTACAAAATAGTATGTACACTCAGATGCAAAAAAACGTAACGGAGAAATTTTTGATCAAATTTAAAGTGTTATATTTTTGTTATTTTTAGCCATATTTTCATGGATTTTTCAACAGGCTGTATATAATTATATCTTATATATAACAGCTTTTTATAAAGTTTAGTATTTGACATATTATACAGGGTTAATCGAGGGGTTATTTTTTCACCTTACCTTTAAAACACCCTGTGAAATATTTCGTGTGTAAATTTTCCTAAAATATAATTTTACTGTCAAACCCTCGGTCAAACCCATGTCTCCTGAGCATTTTGTTTTCTCATATCAATACATGCCTTAGTTCATTTTTAAGAGTGAAATGAGCTTGCTACAAACAATTTACAATTATTTCTTTTTTGAAGTTATTTTTCAATATGACAAGGCGGCTTTGATGATTATTGTAAACTATATACTACTATGAACTGCCGCTTGCAAATGCTTGGCAGGCGGGTTAAAGGACGCGAAGCAGTACCTGCTTCATTAAATGAACTTCGTCTGGTTCTTAAAGAAGAATGGGAAAACATAACGCAATATGATATAATGTGCAGCCTCAATGACAATATGAACGGACGTATACAGGCAGTTATAGCAGCCAAGGGCAGCAATACAAAGTATTAGAGTATTTTTGACAATTTTTTTTCTATTTGTATACTTGAGTATTACAGATGTTTTTTTTAATATCGTTAGTTCTGTTATCGTTATTAATGTTTATTAAAACCCGGATTGTATCGTTAGTCTTTAACGTTTTTTTAATTCAGTATAGATTATCCAATGTAGTGTAATATGACGTTACGACAATAGTCACCAAAACCATCTAATCATATTAAAAAAATATATCAAAAAGTAAATGAAAACTAAAAAATTGCAAATTGATCGTTATCAGTTCATTTCGCTCTTAAAAATTAACCAAAATATGTATTGGCATGAATCAACTAACAAAATGCTCCGGAGTTACGGTTCTGACCGTAAAATTATATTTTAGAAAAGTTTACATACGAAATTATTGCACAGGGTGTTTTAAAGTTAAGGTAAAAAAATAACCTCTCGACTAACCCTGTATAACATGCCAAATACTAAAGTTTATAAAAAGCTGAGTTTACGAATTAAAGTTGATATAATTATATACAGCTTGCTAAAAAAATCATGAAAATAGGGCTAAAAATAACAAAAATATATATACCGTTCTGGTCATCCAATTACTGTGTATAGGATTTTAATGGACACGACAGAGAATAATACAATTGACCGGTTGACAGAGAGAGACGCAAAATAAAAGGGGGGATACAGTGTTGCCGGTTCGTAAACGTGTAGGTAGGATTAAGAATGAGCATGGTGGGAGCACAAATCCACTCCGATGCCGATGACAATTCGAGACTGCTCTCAGTGTTGCCAGATAAACTTCCTCTAACAACCTCTGCATAACTAATAGCATATTGTCAAATAATATCATTAGTTAGAATAGTTTTCGTTTTCTGGTTAGAATTTTTGTTTTAATTCTCAATAAAGAAAAATTACATATTTAAAAAAATAAACTACTCAAAACAATTATCACATATTTTCTAAAAAATATTAATTTGAAAAACAAGACTTTTGAATTCCAAGACAAGATTTTGAATTCCCTGACTTACGATTTTAAATAGTACGGATACTGTGGAGGGAAATTCGATAAAACAAGCCTACGCGCAGATCTGTAATTTTTAGTCGGCCGACTATTTAGTTGCAAAAGTGAAAACAATACATACTTATGAAGTCGATCGGCCGACTATTTGATTGCGCGTGGGCGCGGCTCCATAAGAATATATTGGTTTGGCACACACACATGCAATAGCCGGTCGATTAAAATTGCCTGTCAGTGCATAGCCTAGACTAATGTAATCAAATATTGGGGCGATCGGCTCCATAAGAATGTATTGTTTTCACTTTTGCAACCAAGTTCAAAGTTGGCCGACTAAAAATTACATGTCAGTGCATACTCTAATTATCCTACAAAAAACTCACAAGAGAAAGGCAGAAAAAGGCATGCTTCATTTAGAAATATGTAATAATTACTTTTATTCAAATATGCGATAATTGTTTTGAGTAGTGTATAATTATTAAAAGATATTTTCTGATGATACTATTAGAAATGCCAAGTTTGGGAACAAAATTAAATGCACACACTAAATTTTGTCTAAAAAATATATTTTCCCAAAATTTACTTCTATGATTTAAATTTTAATTCTTACTAGATTTAGGGAAATTTCCTAGACCTGGGAACTATGACTAATACTTTGACCGTCTCCATTTTAAGAGATTCCTTACTTCTTTCCCACCACTTGATATGTCATAGCTGATTGGTCTCATCCCCACACAAAATTTGGAAGCCATTTGGAATTTCTGTTGCCACGTGTGACTCATCAAACTCTTGAGTCATAGGCGTACTAATATTTTATTTCCATTTAGATTTAGTATTACAGCCAATTATAGTTTAAAAGTTTTACTTATGAATTCTGAAAAATTTAATTTACTAGAATTTTTATAAGAATTCTCTTCGCGTTTTTTTTGCATCTGAGTGTACATTAACTTATTAGGAGTAAAATAACAAGCGTTAGCGAGTGGCGAAATTACAAGCGAGGGACGAAAAGTAATTTTTACTCCGAGTACAACATGCTATTATTTTTTGCAAAAGTAACATTTAATTCTTTAAACAATTTCAAACGTTGCAAATAATATAAAAAGTAAGTAATACCAGGTAATACCTTGTAAGTAATCATATATCAAGAAACTATGGTTACACTCGTTGGAATTTGACACTTTATGTCAGTTTAATATGATTTCATACTTTTGTGCTTAGTAAAAGTGCTATACTTTTATGCCTAGGCGTTAAAATAACTTTTTTATATTGTCATACGTCGCAAAAATTAATACTTTTCTAACGATTGAAAAAAATATATAATTAAACTGACATTATGCATTATTGCGGCGTTTGAAATTGTTTTCGAAATTATTTGTGACGTTTTAAAAAACAGCATGTTATATTCGGAGTAAAAATGTATTTTGTGCCCATTTTATGCCTCCTCCGAAACATCAACCTAATGTTACAACAGCAAAAAATATGACGTTAATTAAAATTCATAATAACCGTCTGTCAAAGATTTTATTTTTTTTTGTCAAAACAAGATTATATTACCGCCGAAACGCGTTTTGATTTTTAGGACTAGGCTTTTTTAGGAAAAAAAATTAACAATATTTTCATTTTTTTTTATTTTTCTCTGAAACGGTATGGATATTTGGAAAATTATAAACGGGACATTTTAAAACAGGCAAAATATTTTATAAAATATGCATTTTTCTCAAAATGTTAAAAATAACAAAGTTTTTCCTCTTGTAAAGACCGGACTCGGAGACATACTGCATAGCAGAAATTCACTATATACTTATTCTTGTAAATTAAAATTTAGATTATACAATTAAGTATGTAAAAACTTACAATTCACTGAAAACTTTTTCGACTTCACTTCTTTGTGTCAGTTGCATATAAAATCGAAAAAAATCCTCAAAATTGAATTTTGTCGGGTTGATTGTGTCATTTTTGCCATATGGTAAACCTAAACTACTTAATACTGTTTCTAATCTCTTCTTGTCGTCTCTACTTTGACCACACATCTTTATTAAGCTGAAAAAGAAAATTATATGAATGCTTATTAAAGATATTTTTCGGCTTATTGAAGAGTAAATAGGGATTTATCCTTAGACAAATATTATAAATAGACAAATATGGTAAATGTCCCAATTATCGTCACATTAAGGGGATATCTTAGTTCAGTTAGCCATAAAATCCGAATTATTAAGGCTTGTATGGCTTAAATGTATTATTGTAAGGCTTACAAGAAAAGTAAATATGAAACTAGTGGATATTTTAATTTAAAATTTAAATAAAACTTTAATAACTTGACTGATATTTTTGATTATTTTCAAGAAAAACTAAAAAAATTACAATTGCTCCAAATATTTCATTCATCTTTCTACCTATACCGGGTGTCTCAAAAGTGGTTAACCCCCTGTAACTTTTTTATTTTTTCAGATAAAAAATCGTTATTTGGTATGTTAGCACATGACATAAATTAGGATTGCTTGACGAATTCAATTGTTTTTGGTTACTTCCTGTTTCGCCAGAAGTGACTACAACTTTTGAATTTTAAATGGCACCGTCTTACAGTGGTTCCCAGATAAGTCATTACTTAGAAATATTAATTTCAAAATGTTTGCATGAAACTGTTGCTAATACTTTTCTTATATTCCCCTGTAAACGATACATAATAAATAACAAAATCAAGTAAGCCTACTGTAGCGCTTTTTTTATTAGAAATGTCACATTTTTGCTACTGGTATCAAGCTGACATAAACAGTTTTCAGATAACGCCAATTAATTACTTATTTTATTAAAATTGATAAAAGCTGTCGCCTTTTCTGTAATGGACGTTCGAAAAGAAGGTAAAAAAACTGTTTTTTCTTTTTTGCGCTTAATTAAACCTAAGTAATATTAGTTTATGGCAATTTATTTGAATGCTACAAAAATAGTATTTTTACATTTTTGCTTGTCACTCTTTAAGACTTTTAACTACTTTCCCTTTCAATTCCTCTTAAACGGCATGATAATACTTGTTGCTTAAAGTATATTGTATATAAATTAATTGCCACTGGCTGCCGCGAATTGCCGCCGGATCTTATACCAGGTGGTTATATCGGGTGGTTTTTTTATTTTTTGTCTTACAATAAAAGTAACTTATTTTTTCCTCTTCGTGTCAACTTATTTCGTGGACACATTGTATATCAATTGACAATAAAATTGTATTTATAAAATGAAACAACTGTCTCTTTTATTTTTTCAACATTTAAAATAAATTTGACCTCTTCAATATGAAAAAAACATGTACAGGGTGAGTCAACGATAGAGTAAACTCCATTATCTCATTTGTTTCGAGGTTTACAAAAAAAATATTAAATATAAAAGTTATAGAGATGGTTAAGATACACATTTTAAAATTATTATACAGTATACAGGGTGCTTTAAAAAAGTGTGGCGAATATAACATATGTTTTTTTAAATGCAACACCCTATTTTTTATTTTATTTTTAGATTCTGCATAAAATTCCATTACTTTTTTATATATAATGTTATATACCTAAAATTAATATTATTTGTTATAAATTTGTTTAAACAAATGTTAGATTGCAGTGGGTTAAAAAATTGTCAATGATGGCATTGATTCTGAAGTTGGACAACTAAAATTTGGTAGGAGAATTTTATAGAGATATAGAAAAAGACCTATGTAAAGACTTCAACTAATTAAAATTAAGGAATTTCAATTTTTTTAAATGGTACACCCTATAATATTATCATTTTTTCTGGTAGATTTTACCAAACTCTTCAACTTTTGTTAAGAATGTCATATACCTATTTTTATTAGTTTGCGATTAATTCCTATTTTTTCTATTTTTACCCATATTTTTAATACAATTGCGCTATATATAACATCATAGATGCCATGACAAAAAGTAATAATTATGACAATTTCATGTCTGTTAAGCAAGTTAAGAACAAAATTTGAATTTTAGTTTAATTTGTTATAATAAGTATAAATGGTAGAGATAACAGATTTTCTTGAAATGAATTAGTCAATGTGAATGATATACACGGACAAGCTTAGAAAACCACATTTTTTGGTTCAGTACTATTTATTATATAGTACTTTGCTAACTACTATAAGGATAGATGTATATTATCTAGAAAACATCTTCAGTGTGTAATGGGACGGTTTCGTGGCAGTAGTAATATTGGCTTTACCAAATGAACTATAAATCAGAATTACTACGAGAAAAAAACTATACTGTATGTCGAAGAAAATTCATATATCAGTAGTCTTTAGCAATTAGGCAATCTAATATTACCCTAATCTGTGGATATTCGCCCCGACAAAAAATCCTAAGTGTCATCTTTCATAATAAAGAAATACACCAAGAAATTCACTACTGCGATTTAGTTTATTTGAGTAAAGTAAACTAATTTTAACTAATACCAGCAATTGAAACTAATTATGAAGCTACTTGTTAACGGTAAGTAATAAATAGTTTTGTTTTGTCATGGCAACTATGATTTTATAGGGTAATTGTATTAAAAATATGGATAAAAATAGAAAAAATGGAAATAAATTGCAAACTATTAAAAATAAGGATATGACATACTTAATAAATGTTGAAGAGTTTTGTCAAATCTATCAGAAAAAATGATAATATATAGGGTGTCCCATTTAAAAAAATTGTGATTTTTTAATTTTAAGTAGTTGAAATTCATAAATATATTTTGAACATCCTGTATCATTTAACTAAAATATCTTTACATATATCTTTTTTTTATCTCTATAAAACTCTTCTACCAAATTTTGGTACTCCAACTTCAGAAACAATAGCACCACTGACAATTTTTACAACCCTGCAATTTAACATTTGTTTAAATAAATTGAAATATTACAAAAACTAATAATTTTAGGTATATAATATTATATATAAAAAAGTTATGCAAATTTTACGCAGAATCTAAAAAAAATAAAAATAGGGTGTAAATATATATATATATATATATATATATATATATATATATATATATATATATATATATATATATATATATATATATATATATATATATATATATATATATATATATATATATATATATATATATGGAGTGTTGCATTTAAAAAAAACATATGTTATAGCCGCCACACTTTTTTGAAGCACCTTGTATACTCTATAATAATTTTAAAATGTGTATCTTAACCATCCCTATAACTTTTATATTAAACATTTTTTTGTAAACCTTGAAACAAATGAGATAATGGACTTTACTCTATCGTTGACTCACCCTGTACATATGTGCCATCTGTATACCTTTCCGAATAGTTAGAACTTAAAATGCAAATGACACGAACTGGGCCCAATTTTTTTAATACATATTACATTAAGTTTTTTATATACATTTATTTAGCATTTGTTATCAATTTCTATTAAAAAAAGTGCAGTCGAGCTATATCTAGATATGTAACAGTTATGACCGCGCAGCTCATTAAGGGGAACAACTTTGCATCCGTCGGTATTTTGTTACTTTATTCGATAGAAAATGACACTCTGAATAGAATGGTATATCATATGTCAATTTTGACATTTTCGCGAATTTGAAATTGCGACATGCGATTCATAACGACAATTGGACTCGAAATAATAAGTGTGGTACCAAATTATTCGTAAAAAGGTGCTTTTTCCAAGTTTAATCAATTATTCAATTTATTAAAAATACGATTTGGGCATCTTTTAACCGGTCAGAACAAGACACTAAAACATTAGAGGATCAAGTATATTTTTCCAAGGCTCCTTGATTAAAAATTAGTGTTGTTCACACAGTCATGGCACTCTAGATTGAAATTTAAAATATAATTTTGTTTTAAGCGAAAATGTCAAAAGTTGACATATGATATGTCATTGCATTCAGAATGTCCTATCGAATAAAGTAGAAATATACCGAGGGTGCCATTTAAAAATCAAAAGTTGTAGTCATTTCCGGTGAAACAGGAAGTGGCCGAAAGGCATTGAATACGTCAATCAATCCTGATTTATGTCATATACTAACATACCAAACCTCGTTTTTTATCTAAAAAAAATAAAAAAATTATAGGGGTGACCCACTTTTGAGAAACACCACGTACCTATGTATAGATAATCACAGTCGTTGATTTCATGGCTTAAGATGAAAGGAAAAGCTGTTTTTGAAAAATTTCCCAAAGAAAAAAGTGTTAGGACTCGTCCTAATTAACCAACACAGAAAGTTACAAAAGTATTTCGATAATTCAACTCTGATGTAAGCCAGCCCCCGACTATAAACTATATTATTAAATATCTTACTTTTTAATCGGGACCTTTCCACCTTTATCCGTCACTAGAGTTAGTTTTGTGTAAGCTTTCTGCAGGTACATTTTCGTAGTCCCGTTGATTTGGTTCAGATTATAAGCCAAGCTCATGAGGGCGTCCGTCCATTGTTGCGCTATTTCCTTCTTTGTACAGCAAAAGTTGATGAAATTGATATTGACGAAGTCGTTTCCACACACCACAGTCACCGTTTTCTCTTCTAACGTGTCTTGGGAGCCCATTGTGACAGTCTGACGTAGTCTTAAATCCTGAAACAACAGAAATGGCATTATTAATAAATGGTTGTAAACGTTAAGTCCTACATTTTTACTGATATTTATTATACAGGGTGAGTCTTAAATAAGTGCAAATATTTTTAGGGCTAGTAGATCTCGATAAAAGAAACATATTTTCTCTTTACCGTTTTGCAAATAAATTCAAAATAACCGAGTTATTTTACTTTGAAAATTTAGAAAAATATATTTTTTGCTAAAATTTTGAGAACCACTGGATCGTTTCTGGATTTTCTTTCTTGTTAATTTAATCTACTACCTATGTTGCCATATTATCAAGAAATTATGTTTTTTAATTAAAAACTAAAAAAAATTCTAATTTTTTTTTGCAAACATAATATTGTTTATGGGGTCGAAATATATAATATAATAATAATAATAGCTCCCGTATATAGCGTTTAACGCCTTGGGAGTAGCAAGGTACAGCTTGCTATACTCGAGCCGTTCGGTATACAAGGAAGGTAATGTGGCTAGAGCACTACGCTTCAACCGCCTATTACCTCAGGATTGTGAATCCCAAGTACTCATTAAAGGCTGAGTCGACCTAGGTACCCAAACTATTTTTATTTTAATAAAAATAGTCGGCTGATGAAATTCCGGGTGTGGGAATCGAACCCACACTTTGAGATTAGTAGACGAGAGCCTGTACCTCTACGCCACCGGGCACCTGAAATTTAAAATACAATTTTGTTTTAAGCGAATCGAAATATACTACCCCTAAAATATTTGCACTTATTTAAGACTCCCCCTGTATAACATCATAATTTTATTTATTGCAATACAAGTAGTAATAATTTAAAATCAATACAGAGATGTCCGCATCAGACTGTAAATCAAATGCTCTCTTAAGTAGCACACATAGGTCCAACTTCGTTAATCCAATTGTCGTTTCAACAAAATTGGATATTGCCTCCACATTCCTCGATTTCACAATAAATCTACGTGTAAACATCAGTTGAATTTTGCTTCTTATGTACACATGTTTTCTATGTTGTTGTGACGAAACTTGTAGATTTGTCCGTTACTATGATAGAATGACTTTTACTAGATAGAATATTTAGATTATTGATTTTACTAGAGTTGGACATAAGAACATCGACTCTTCGGTGAGTAAATATAGATTATCATTTAAAAAGGGCATTCTATCATAGCACCGGACGAATCTGCAAAGTTTTATCAAAAAAATTTGGTGGCCAGCGGTGGGATTAAAACTTCTTCATAATTTTTAAAATTTACATGGGATTTTATATATCCAGGTGGGCGATGCAACTCACAGTAGATAAACGTTACAGAACCTTTTTTTTGTTAAACGTTTTATATCTAAAAGCTTATTATGTTTCGTCTTTTATTTTATATATATATATATATATATATATATATATATATATATATATATATATATATATATATATATATATATATATATATATATATATATATATATATTTAAATATGTTCCGAAATATTTGAAACGAAACAAAGTAATACACCCAGATAGTTTATGTGCAATTTATTAATTTTAACATTAATTATTGTACAAATATTTAATTAACTTTTGTTATATATACAGGGTGAGTCTTAAATAAGTGCAAATATTTTTAGGGGTGGTGTATTTCGACCCCAAAAACACGTCTATGAGGTTTTTTTCGCAAAAAAAAGATGTCGAAAATCGTGCATTTTTGAATTTGAAATTTTTAAATTTCCCTGTATAGTTTTCGAAAACTTTTTAGAACTGCCTGTTCATCGCACATTTTCCCACGGTAAAATTTCTTAATCTCCGATATTACTATAGTTACAGCTTTACTCTATGGTTACGGCACTAAAAGGGATGCAAATACAGAAAAAAGCCGGTAGCTCTCAAAATTTTTCCAAAAAAAATCATTTTTTTTTAAATTTTCAAACTTAAATAACTCGGTTATTTTGGACTTATTTGAAAAATGCTAAAGAGAAAATATGTTTCTTTCATCGAGATATACCAGGCCTGAAAATATTTGCATTTATTTAAGACTCACCGTGTATATATAATTGTTTGTAGTTATCTCTGCAACTTTCAAAACGTAAACTAAATTTAATAGTAATTGTCGACTACAGTAAATACAATTTTTCTTTAAATACAATTTTTCCTTAAATCAGTGATTTTAGTATACCGATACATACAACTAAACGGTGCATAAGCAAAAGCGCTTCATTAATTAATTATATTAGCAACTGCTTTTATAGTCCATTAGGTAAAGCAGCACCGTTCCCCGTGGTACTTAGCGTGGGTTGTAGAGATGTTTGAGTATAGTACATCAAGTATGAGGAGTATGGATAGGTTGTTGCTAGACGTAAAATCCTGAATTTTGGTAAGTTGTCCCAGATGCCGGGAAATCATTATGCATCTCGAAAAGCGTCAATCAAATTATTAAGTTCACGAATTAAACAAATACACACTTCTTATGCTCTATGGACTATTCCTTTGAAATATTCTAGTTAAATACAGGTGTAAACACAAAACTTATCTCGACCACCGTCCTAGAGAATTTTTGATGGTATTTATTTGTTTTAATATCAATTAACATAAGCATTGACAATTTTTCATTTTAGTCAAAATATTTTAAGATCCTTTTAAAAACGATTTTCGAAGAAAATAATGACAAGAAAATTTACAAATAAAAGTACATACTTTTTATTAAATCACATTTAGAAATCCTATGTCAATAAGCTTACAATAAATATCTCATTCGGGTTTTATAAAATAAATCCTCTTAGGCTTCCCCTTTTGCTTTATATAGATCTTTTCATATAATAATATTGTTAATAAAATAAAGTAATTTATGTAGGGAGTTTGGTTGGTATTTGTTTATTTTAATATTATCTAACTATTACTGAAATATTTATTATCATTCTTAACTTAAAGTTTAATTGCCTTTAAATTATTTTTATTTATAGTAATTTTTTAGTATTATTAGAATATATTTTCTGTCTTCTAGTTCGTTCATATTTAAAACCGAATAAGTAGTTAATTTAAATAGATTAACTACAAGATGGCGCACCTCATTCGCCTCGGTTGATTATACGAAAACGGAAAGATGTAGAAACAAAATATTTTATGGGTATATGTGGGGAGGCAATGTGCACAATTGAAAATTATTTTCAAATATACAGGGTGTCTCAGAACTAAGATCCATACCAAAGTTATATTTTTTCTTATGGAACACCCGGTATTTTATTTCATTTTTGGATTCTTGGGTCCAAAAAAAGGCATTTATTATAAGGGTTAAATATGTTTAAAATTTTTGGTTTTTGAGATATTTAAAGATATTTAAATATGCATGCTACAAAAGAATTGATTATTAACTCCCTGTACGTTACTTTTTAGAATTAATTCTTGCGCTGAGTTTAAAGGTAAAGAAATAAACTTTACTGAAAAATGTTATTGCTTGCTTAAATTTATACAGGGGTACCAAAAATTAGTGATCTATTTTAAGGATTTATTTTAAATAAAAACATTGTTATTTCAAATGCAACACCCTGTATTTTTTTAAATAAATCGAAGCAGATTCAAATACTCTTTCAAACTATATTAGGGTTTCCTATACCTATCAATCTCAGATTTTGAATAAAAAGCGATTTTTAAATAAAATGGCAATCAAGATGGCTGGTATCGCCATGGCAATTTTCTAGTGACAGTTAATAACTATTTTCAAAATCGATATTAGTTTATGGACATTATTATTTAAACAGTTTACTAAAATTAACCCACAATAGTTTAAAAGTTCTTTATTTTATGATTATATTAGGAAGAAATTTTTAATTAAATATTTTATTCTTTATTTTATGAAGAAAAATAAAACTGTATCTGCTGGCGGCTGGAGGCAACGAATAGATATGTTACTAGTGATTTTATTTTGTGAGGAAAATTATTTCTAGGCCTCAAGAGCTTATGCTTAAAGATATCCAAATAGGAATCTTCCTGAGAAGCGTTCCTTTGAAAAACTACTTGTCCTATTTCATATTTCGCAGAGTGTAGTTTATAAAAAACCTATTAGGCACAAACCTGCCGTTGGAAGTGAAGAAATTGAATTTGCCTTAATTGGCTCTTTTATAGAAAATCCATATATCTACAAGTTATCGTAAAATAAAACAAAGAACTACTAGAATAATAAATACGTATTAATAAATATTATTTATTAAACTATTGTAGGTAAATTAAATACTTTTAGTTAATTTACCTACAATAGTTTAATAAATAATATTTATTAATACGTATTTATTATTCTGGTATAAATTTAAATTAAAGTCTATAAACTAATTTCGATTTTGAAAATAGCTACTAATTGTCACTAGAAACTTGCCCTGACGACACTAGCCCTCTTGGTTGCCATTTTATAGAAAAATCACTCTTTATTCAAATCTTAGCTAGTTTAGGTAGTAGAAAATAGGTATAGAAAATCCTGATATAGTTTGAAAGGGAATTGGAATCTGCATCGATTTATTTAAAAAAATACATGGTGTTGTATTTGAAATAACGACATTTTTATGTATAAATTTAGGAAGCAATAATATATTTTAGTAAAGTTTATTTCTTTACCTTTAAACTCAGTACAAGAATTAATTCCGAAAAGTAATGTACAGGATGTTAATAATCAATTATTTTGTAGCATGCATATTTAAATAGCTTTAAATATCTCAAAAACCAAAGATTTTAAACATATTTAACCCTTATAATAAATGCCTTTTTTGGGCCTAAGAATCCAAAAATGAAATAAAATACCTGGTGTTCCATAAAAAAAAACATAACTTTAGTATGGATCTTAGTTCTGAGATACCCTGTATATCTCAAAATAATTTTAAATTGTGCACATTACCTCCCCACATATACCCATAAAATATTTTGTTTCTACATCTTTCCGTTTTCGCATAATCAACCGAGGCGAATGAGGTGCGCCACACTGTATATATTTTTTTTTAAACTGTCGAACACAGAGTAACGA